AAAATTAAGTACACAAATGCACAGGATTACCTGATATATAAAAACAGGTTTTAGCAGTTGGAGCATTCAGATGTGTGTTAGCATGATGCCACACTTGTTGCAGGAATGAATGTCCAAGCAAAATCACTCCGAGGTTAGAGCATGCAGCACACAGAGAAACACAAACCAACCAAGAGCTACATTTCAGATTCTACAGGCCTCAGTTAGTACAGTGGGGCAAAAAAGTATTTAGTCAGCCACCGATTGTGCAAGTTCCCCCACTTAAAATGATGACAGAGGTCAGTAATTTGCACCAGAGGTACACTTCAACTGTGAGAGACAGAATGTGAAAAAAAATCCATGAATCCACATGGTAGGATTTGTAAAGAATTTATTCGTAAATCAGGGTGGAAAATAAGTATTTGGTCACCTCAAACAAGGAAAATCTCTGGCTCTCACAGACCTGTAACGTCTTCTGTAAGAAGCTTTTCTGTCCCCCACTCGTTACCTGTATGAATGGCACCTGTTTGAACTCATCATCTGTATAAAAGACACCTGTCCACAGCCTCAAACAGTCAGACTCCAAACTCCGCCATGGCCAAGACCAAAGAGCTTTCAGAAGGACACCAGGAAAAGTATTGTAGACCTGCACCAGACTGGGAAGAGTGAATCTACAATAGGCAAGCAGCTTGGTGTGAAAAAATCAACTGTGGGAGCAATCATCAGAAAATGGAAGACATACAAGACCACTGATAATCTCCCTCGATCTGGGGCTCCACGCAAGATCTCATCCCGTGGGGTCAAAATGATCATGAGAACGGTGAGCAAAGATCCCAGAACCACACGGGGGGACCTGGTGAATGACCTGCAGAGAGCTGGGACCAAAGTAACAAAGGTCACCATCAGTAACACACTACAACGGCAGGGAATCAAATCCCGCAGTGCCAGACGTGTTCCGCTGCTGAAGCCAGTGCATGTCCAGGCCCGTCTGAAGTTTGCCAGAGAGCACATGGATGATACAGCAGAGGATTGGGAGAATGTCATGTGGTCAGATGAAACCAAAGTAGAACTTTTTGGTATAAACTCAACTCGTCGTGTTTGGAGGAAGAAGAATACTGAGTTGCATCCCAAGAACACCATACCTACTGTGAAGCATGGGGGTGGAAACATCATGCTATGGGGCTGTTTTTCTGCCAAGGGGACAGGACGACTGATCCGTGTTAAGGACAGAATGAATGGGGCCATGTATCGTGAGATTTTGAGCCAAAACCTCCTTCCATCAGTGAGAACTTTGAAGATGAAACGAGGCTGGGTCTTCCAACATGACAATGATCCAAAACACACCGCCCGGGCAACAAAGGAGTGGCTCCGTAAGAAGCATTTGAAAGTCCTGGAGTGGCCTAGCCAGTCTCCAGACCTCAACCCCATAGAAAATCTGTGGCGGGAGTTGAAAGTCCGTGTTGCTCGGCGACAGCCCCAAAACATCACTGCTCTCGAGAAGATCTGCATGGAGGAATGGGCCAAAATACCAGCTACTGTGTGTGCAAACCTGGTAAAGACCTATAGTAAACGTTTGACCTCTGTTATTGCCAACAAAGGTTATGTTACAAAGTATTGAGTTGTATTTTTGTTATTGACCAAATACTTATTTTCCACCCTGATTTACGAATAAATTCTTTACAAATCCTACCATGTGGATTCATGGATTTTTTTTTCACATTCTGTCTCTCACAGTTGAAGTGTACCTCTGGTGCAAATTACTGACCTCTGTCATCATTTTAGGTGGGGGAACTTGCACAATCGGTGGCTGACTAAATACTTTTTTGCCCCACTGTATTTAGCTGTTAAAGTTAATGACAGTGCAATTAGAAAAAGACTGAACGAGTACGACTTGTTTGGGAGCGTTCGCAGGAGAGAGAGAAAAGACAGCTTCGGTTTGCAAAGCTGACAAACCACAAACAAACAAACAAACCACAAGATGTCTGTAGCAATATTATTTGGATAGTTAACACTGAAATAGAGATGTTTGGCCAAAATGCAAAACCCCATGTCTGAAGAAAATCAAACACAGCACATCAGGATAAGCGTTTCAACTATCACCAACCTTTAAGCACGGTGGTGGAGGGGGGATGATTGGGGCTTGTGTTGCAACCACAGGACCTGGGCACCTTGCAGTCACTCAGTTGACCATGTAATACCATCTAGTCAAATTTGAGGCCGCCAGCTAAAGCTTGGCCCAAACACGGCAGAAACTCTACAACAGAAAGGCAGAAAAAAAATAAAGTTAAATTTAAAATAATAAAGGTGGCGCGATGGGCCAGTTAGAGAGCCCAGCCTGATTGAAAACTGTAACACAGATATTAACTGTACTCATAGATACCCACTGTTGCAGTAATAGTGTTTCATTTACTTCTGCTTTTCTCTGAAGTGCTCACCTGTTATTCCCTTGATCCAGACGGTCCTGTTTTCCTTCATTTACGACTCCATTGCAACCAGCCAAAAATGTTATCAGCACCTCATTTACACAAAGTGTCATTTTCACAGCTGCTATTTCATTTTATTGGAGCTAGTTCATTATAACTGCTTTATCAGTTTTACCGCACTGCCAGCCTAACTGCTGTTTGTCAGTATTGTTTGCAGTTTTTCACGTGCGCTTCCAAATGCCAGCTGCTGCTATTATTATTACTGGATGCGTTCAGCTCACTTTGCATAGTCAGGTGCACAAGCCGGGGTCCAGCAGGTGAGATATGGCCTGGAATAAGTGGAGATTATCAATAAACCCATCGCGGATTTACAGCGCAGTAAAACCACAAACACTAAGAAGCTTTGTTTTAGGCCACAGAAAGCAGGGCGTCGTTTGCCAAAAGAACAAACAGCATGTTACTGGATTTTGTAGGATTTAAATTGATCCATTTCTGTTTAGGTTATTTGGTATGTAATAAGTTCATATTCCTTGAAACTATGACAAATAGTCCTGGCATACTACACCAGGCTGAGAGTACCGGGAGATGACAACAGACAGAGAGCCGAGCTCTGTTTCCCTGTAAACACTCTTGGAGTGGACTTGACAAATTGGCCATTTAGAAGCAAATCTGTCTAAATGAATGTGTGTTTCTTTCCCTGGGCACTTTGTCTCTCTAATGCAGTGTGCTGCCAGGGCGGAGAATGCCCCAGCTTTGTGGCATTTTATGAGGACAATAGTAAACCTCGATGGCTCGTCTGACTGGTTACTCCGGATGAAATACGCCTGTGGGCTGTAGATGCGCACGGAATGCCAACGGAAGGAGAGAGGAGGGTGAACACAGTCTGAGCAGTGTGAATTTAAGAGGAGAGCAGGGCAGCCAGCCAGAGGAGTTGAATGCTCTTTGTTCTGCCACATGGTTACCGATGAGTATTCCTAACTATAATCTATGTGGCGGACTGATTTGGTGATGACTCTTCATTACAAAATTTCCGAGAGCCAACAGATGAAACTATGCTTACACGTCCAGCTTGTATTTAATCCTGACTTTACACAAGCTGTTTCTGTATAAAGGATCTAATACAAAACTGGACAATGATTTTTTAATTGATACACTCCCTCTTTCTAAAATCCAAATGACACGTTTGTGTGTCCCACCCCATCTCTAGGTATAGGCTGTGAAACTCTTTAATCCTGAATCTAAACTCGCTTTAGCTGTGTCAGTAGGGAGTATGTAAAACAGAACAATGCAGGGATCTTTTAATTGATCCACACTCCCTCCTTCTGAAATCTAAAAGAAATGGGTGCATGCCCTTCCTGTGCGCCTTCCTAATTTCAACTACAATACGAGCTGACAGCTTACAACAGTTACCCACCCATCCTGCATCGGGACGTCCATGGAAACATTGTGGGACATTTCTGATGTTTCTAAAAATTACAGCCATTTCATTTATTTTGAGCTAGTGAAGTGAAAAAGTCTTCACTATAGTTCTCATTTCCAGCTCCTTCTCTTCTCTATTTTTACTTGATTAGAGTAGCTGTGCATGATTCGCAGTTCAAACTGACCTGTCTTCATTTTCTATCAGACCCTGGTGCAGTTCCTCAAATTCCCTTGTCTGAAACAAGCTGTTTTGCGTGCTCTGCCTTTAAGCTAACATTCTTCTGATTGGTTGCCCCTTACAAACAGAAGGTTTAAAGAGCAGATGGCCGGGACTTATTTGCTGACAGCCAGAGCTGTTTGTCTGAGATGTCATCAGTAATATCTTGTCTCACTGACAACACAGGAAGCCAAAAATTGTTTTGTCGCATGCAAAGCAGTCTGAAGTCTGAGTGTTTGGCTCATTACACGTATACTGACGTCATGATTTGAAACTGAAGCTCGTGTTTACCATTGTAACAGTGTATGTATGATAGAAGATAAGGAAAAAACACATTAAAGCCACTTTTTTTTCCAATTAGAATACAGTCTTAATATTTTGCCACTTATTGTTTCTGCTTAGTTTTTCTTAAAGTCTGCTGGGCCTTTAACTGCTGAATGTAACAACCTGGATATTGTGCTTTGTTCCACTTTGAGTACTAAATTACTGCTGTTAGTGCACTTTAAGATACTGATTCATGTCATCATCCATTACCAAGGAACACTCAACTAATGAGCAAAATAGAAACATTTAAAACTTAAGGTATTCAAAAGCAGATAAACATTTGGGTGCCAGATTTTATGATACCCTGCATATAGTGCTTGCAACACTTCGGCAATCAATAACACAGAAGGTTAAAATAAAAATCTACAAATCACACATTTAAGATTCAGTAAATCTGCAAATGTCATTTCCTCAGTGATGTAACCGCCTGTAAACCAGCGTGCAGTTCACTTTTCTGACATAAAATGACTTCAATTTCAACAGAAAGAAAATTAAAAACAATAAATAATTGTACCACTGTGTCAACAAAAATGTGACAAGAGTCACATTTATTAGCTCGACAGACAGTGAGCTCGATACATTCCACCACCCAACTCTGCCCTTTGTTCCATAAACACTCACAGCACGTCGGCGCCCTCATACAGCAGGAATTCTTCAAATTATCTCAAAAACTAAAAGTACGCACGTTCAAGCTGACGAACACAATGACTGTGTGACAAAAGTAGGAGCCAGAGTTCATGTGCACATTCTTATTGTCAATTCAGTTCATTTAAAATGACCCTGAGCAATAATCTGTGTAAACATTTCTACATTCGCTCCAAACTCAGAAAATGGAGAAAAAAAAAAAAAAGTCTGTGCCTCCTCTTCCACGACGTCCTCGCTCAATATGTACACAGGAGAAAATCTGTTTTATAGGCATGCTGGTGTTCTTGTTTACATACTTTTTGTTTCTGTGCATATACACGACACCAATGGTTCTCTGAAGTCATTAAATATTTGAAGCATTGCTTTATGTTTTTAACTCTTTTTTGATAATGGAGTATGACGGAGACTGTAATAGAAATAGATTTCATATATATAGTTATATACTGTATTGAGGGAGTGCATTCAGATTCTCCAGCAGTAGATATGTGGGGTGACAGCTTTACTGCATACAGTGCGGGGCAATCGACGTGCTAAGGGAAAGACAGTGAGCAGCAGAGGTCATTCTGAGCTAAGCTCTGGATCAGTCTGCACCACTCGGCCCTCTTCTGGGTGATGTAGGCTGGGGTGATCATTTGCACAGGAAGGCGTGGCGAGCCCTCCACCCGGGCCTTCTCGCACAAGGCCTCGGCAATACAGATAACATACATGCCACAGTCATAGCTGTTCTGCTGGGATGGGCAGGGCTCCTCGACAAACAGCGCTTTCCTCCCTGCGCCCAGGAAAGGCTCCAACTTGCTGGCAATGCGCCGTGCGTGAAGTGAATTGCTGCCATTTTGAGAGTCATAATGGGCAAAGTGGTTGGAGTTGTGATGATAAAGCAAGAGGCTCCAGTGGGACCCTCCAGCGGTCTGGTTGGAGTTGTCATTCACTGCTAGGAAGACCCAGCGACGAGAAGCAAGATCCAGTGGCTCCAGAAACAATGCCAACTCATCAGGGCAGGAAGCACATTTGATGAACTGGGTGACCTCTGGGCTGATAAAGATAACGGCTTCCCCCAGGACTCTAAAGCGCTCGGCAGCAAAGTACTCAAAAGCAAAACCAATGACTTGGTCATTAAGCCAGTAAGGTCCTTCCAGTAGAGAGACATCAGAGCGCCGCAGCAGGCTGTCATGATAGCTGAGCACTACAGGATCCATCCTCCAGAGCAGTCAGAGCGTGTCAATCTGAAAATACACAGAAACGCTTTAATGCTTAGGGCTCAGCTAATTGATTCGTCAGAAATTTACTGCTCGTGTTTTCTTTAATATGAGAACTGCTTTTCTTTGTCTCGTACTGCTCTTTTCTGAAATAGGTTCAATCAGCACATACTACCTTAAGGACGCTGTGATCTCACAAGCAATATTATTTAGCAGCTGTTGATCATCTACTCAGCAGAGCAGTAATTTCACAGAATAGAAACAGGTTCAGGGAGGGGGACCAATCTGACGAATTTAAAGGCGTCATTTGGGTTTCTTAGAGAATGCAAAAGGCTTCATTCACTTCATTCTGATGCCAGTTGGCCAGTACAGCCTGACACTGGTTTCAAACATGAAGCTTTTTTTTTTTTTTACACAGATCTCATCCTGGACTAGTGATTCAAACGCAGTCACAGTCTGTGTTCATTTAAGCAACTCGCACAAACTGTTAAACTTCACTGAAGCCAAAGCAGGCTGCCTGTTTCTGGGATCCTTGTTGACTTTCTGTTCGCTACTTTGCTTTATTACTCACTCAGACACATTAACTGGAGCCGTTTTAGCGCACTGGCCGATCAGGTTATTTTCAGAGATGTTACAGTAGCGCTTTGCTGGGCCGGGAATCCACTGCGGAGCATCACATTACTGCAATGCGTTTACTTCAGCAGGCAGCTCTCCGCTCAATCGAGCCTGCGTTTTTAGCTTGAGCTCGCTAACCGACAGTTTTTAGCGTCACTCGTAGCCAAAAAACTGAGTTAAATAGCAGACTGAGCATGCGCCACATTAACCGTTGGCTGCCAAACTGAAATACACAGTGTCCGTTAAGTGTCCTACCTGTAAATGACACATTCAAATTAAAAGTACCACGAAAACACGAGCGGTGAAGCCCCTCATTGCAATGACTATCGTAAATCGCGGCGAGAAGACCGTAACATTTTGCGACAGTGGGGTGGAGATAAGCTTGCTTGTGATTGGCTCCTTGCATTGGGGTATGGGCACGTGAGCGTTACTAAAAAACTGACATTCTGTGTCGTTACATGCAAGCACAGGAGAAGTGTCTTTCTTTGTATTTTACAGCCAATAAGGCGAGATAAAACCACGTATTTTAAAATCAAGTGAATTTCCGTCATTTTAGTCTTTTTTTAAACTCTAACATGACCCCCAAAGGTTATAATCCATTATCGGAAACCGAGAGGTGCAGTGTGGTTACTGTTGCCCTGTGTGTTTCAGGGTACTTCCGGTTGCTTCGCCCCGCCCCTCCCCTCCGTGTTTTCTCCCCTCCCATCAGCGGCGTGAACGCGCAATGCTGAGCCGCACTGATTAGCAAGACGGAGAGGAGTTTTCAGCGACCGAGCAGCGAAGAACTGCCGTTTAATTGGATTCAAACTGCGAACATGCTCGGATAAAAAGAAAAAGAAAAAAATGCGTAGGTTTTCAACACGGAGTTGACTTTCGAGGACTTTGCTAAGAGGCAAGTGAGGCGAGTGAGAAGAAAGCAAATTAATTCAGTGGGAATGCAGGGAATTAAATAGAGACTGGGTGATTTTTTTTGCGTGGCTACAAGTGTGTGTAGCTCCACGGTCAAGCCTGACAAGAAACGGGAAAACTCGAGTGCCACTTTAAATTGACTTTACAGCTCACGTCTGGAGGTAAGAGTGATGTTTAGTGATAGTTATACACTGTGGTGCGTTGGGCTGCCCCGCTGTGGGACGATAGGCGTCTGGCTGGAAGCTGCTAGTGAACCTATGATTCAGTTGTAGTCCGTAAGAAACTTTATGACCTGCACTCATTTGCAGCATTGTTTTCAGTTGGCAGACTTAAGTTGTGTGTGTGTTTTGGGGTGCTCAGTCGGTGCTTTTATTCAGTGAGGAGTCTCTGTCAGAGCTGTGTGTGTGTGTGTGTGATGTGAGCCTGTAAAAAGTTCTGGCTGCTCCTCACTGAGATGTCATTTCACACTACAGAGGGTGCTTACTCCAGAGCTTCAGCTGGCTGAAGGACAGTTTATAAGAATAACAACCACATGTAACATGACAAACGCAGGCTGGATTTACTTTATTCTTTCATTTTATTTGTGATAGTGCACAATACAAATTACAAAGGGCTCATTTTTATCTTCAAACCATTGACAGGGGTCGTTTTTTTTTATCCATTACAGGCTCAAACAAGGTTTGCAAAAAACATAGGGGAACACCAATGCATGCAAAGATTGAGACTGCAAAAATAAGGATATACGTACATGAAACCGTACACAATATGTCACTGCAACATAAACCAGGTATTATGTTTTCACGGTCCTGCAGAAATGGGAGCTATTACTGCGGCAGGGTGGGGTAAGTGGTTACATGTATTATTTAGTGGAGGTCAGACAGAGCAGCTTATAATGCACTGAAGGCAATATGCACTGCAAAGCAGCTGTAATTGTACAGGGAGGTCTAATGGGGTGAAGAAGCTGCTGAATCATGGGCATTGTGTCTCTCTGTGTGTGTGCGTGTGTTTGTGGATGGAGAGCTGACTTAAGACAGATTTTACAACGGATCGCCTGGTTGTGTATCTTGAGTGCACCTGAGTGGGTTTGATCGATTTTATAGTATAGTTACTATAGTTTACCTTAAGAGACTATAGCCTAATTTTTTTAAAGTTATTGGTGAGTTGATCTGCTGTGCTTACCGATTACATTAAGTCATTTTTATACCGTTTTTATGAATGGACAAATGTCACCAGAAGATCATCCAATTTGTGCAAAAAGGATGCTCCTAACAGACTTTTATTTCTATGATCATTTTAAAATATACATTTTGGTGCTAGATGATTATTGTTAAAAAAAAAAGAAAAAGGAATGAAGGTAAATGACTTAAATTCATGTTGCTGTGGGTGAGGTGCCCCTGAGAGCCTGTCCTGCCCTCAGATCAGCACAGGTGATGAGGGTAAAGTGGGCCTGTCCTGCAGGAATGTGAGGTCTGAGAAGACACAGCTGCTGCAGCATGAGAGGAAGCCCGGGCTGAGACTCCAGCAACTGGTCCCTGTTGACATCTGACACCCCACAGACCCCGCTGTCTGCTATTTCTAAAGGACCGGCCTCAGTTTTGTATCACATCGGTGTGCAGTGAATGGTCTCGCAGACGCCACCTGAAAGATTGAAGCTGTGATTTAGCAGCTTAGGGCTCAGATTTGAGCACTTCAGATGAGCTAACCTCTGCTGTTGTTGGAGGCAGTCTGTGGTTTACTAGGAATACTTTAAAGAAATGTTTTTAAGTTTTTGATGGTTCGAGTTACGAAATCGCAAACCTTCATATGCAAGTAGTGTTGCTCCATGCTAAGTTTTAGCTGTTCTTTTGATCGCTACAGTCTGGGACTTAGTCAGTGCTGACTGTCATTCTCAATAAGAAGAGCTAGTGTGTGGCCTTCCTTTGGCCCTCCTCCTTGTGTCTAACTTGAACTCAGTGCCTTTGAAATTGAAACTTTGGAAAATGAAACTGAACAGTTTTAGCCTCTCTGAGGATTTTTCAGTTCACAGTAGTTGCACATCTCAAAAGTGATGGCAGAAGCTGCACAGGATGGGAAGTGACTGTTTTTTATGTATAATTTAAAGCTTTTTTTTGGCAAATTAAATAATTTTAAAAAATAATACAGTAGCTCATTATTTGGCTTTCAAGATGTCATTGGGGTCTGCGTAACACTAAGATCGAATCTTTACTTACCCTTGCCCTTTTTCGTTTGAAAGACCTCCTCGTAACACGTTTTATTTTTGCCATGCACAGATCTTAATAACCAGCAACAACAAAGTTGCTGCTGTTAAACACCCACAGACTGTAACTGTGATGTGCTTAAAACAATGAGTTACCACTAGCTCATAGATGCTGTTTCTGCTGTTTTGTTCTCTTGAGAGTAGAACTAACAACCCTTTTGTCTTGTGACTACTTCTTTGCTCATCCACCAGAGCTCCTGTGATCTCCCATGGGCACCGTTCCTCTAAACTCTAGCATAACCTCCCAGTTATCATCCCCTGAGGTGTTACCTGCTGGACTGAATTACCTGCTGCTATCAGTCACATGCTGCAGGCTTAAAACTTCGGCATGTCCTGAAAAGTGGCGTGGCTGCGTTTTGAGATTGTGTGGCGCAAGTGATTGGCATGCACATGAAGTCATTAAAGAGGAACCTGCTTGTGTTGCACTGAACAAAGCTCTCCTTTCTTTAGTACGCCATTATATGAGGGTGGCTTTGGCCTCACAGGCTCAGCTTCCCCACGTTTTGCATTTCCCCTCATTAATTCGCCGGCGCTAACAGTAGTTGGAGTGAGATGGAGAGAGAAGAAAGTGCATTGTGTTGCTCTTTGCAATTTTGTTTATGTGAAAAAAGCCTAACTTGTTCTTTAATTAATCCTTTACAATGGGGAAACGGAGTGAACAAACAGCACTGGGCTTGCTGGAAGCTCACTTTGTATCCTCTTAAATTAAATTAAATCCTCTGTGTCTTTGTTTTGGACAGAGAAGAAAGTGTTCAAAACCTTTGTGGTTTCTTTTTTTTAATTAAATGAATAGGTATGTGAATAGGGATTCTCACTTGCATCCTAATTTATTATTTGAATTTTTAAGGTTTAGATGGATTGTGGAAATTGTAATTAGAGCACAAAAACCAAAACACAGAGTTTAAGCCCCATAGAAACACTAATTTCAGAATTCTACTTTTGTCAAAGTACAGCAGTATATCTGCAAAACCTGTGCATGATGACAGAAGACTATAAGCAGGAAACTAAAGTTGTGGATTTGTGGGTGTGTGTTGTGACACAGCTGTGACAATAGCTCCTGGCCCCCTGCAGCCTCATGGTACGGACTGGACAGAGCCCATGGTTAATCCCCAGGCATGTGCTGTTGTGTAATGTTACACAATTCTGTCCACCTACAGAGTGGTCCTACCTCGAAACCACTTAAAACTTTGAACTGACTGAGTTTATCATTTTCTTAAAGCCTTGAATATTGTTATATCAGAAGGAGACAACATTACAATAGATTTGGATATTTAACCAGCGCCAAATATAATATTAAAACCTTTGAGAAATATGATTTATTTATTGCTGGTCTGCTGGACAGTCCAGAGGACAGGAAGAAATGAAGTTTAAAGTTCTGTCTTTGCACTACACTGCCGTTGTTATCTGTGAGAAATCCTGGCAGTTTACAGTAGTCTGTTCACTGTCAGAATGAGGCAGAAGGGGAGGAAGAGCGGAGATAGCCGTGGGTAACAGACAGCAAACAGGCTGCGATAAGGTGGATTTCGAATGCAGTCCGAGACATGCTCACTAATGGCTGGCATTCTTCTGCTGCCTAATCTTTACTGTAGTTATCAGTGCAGTAAATGAGAAGATGATGTAGGCTACTGTGAGATTATGCTTAAGTGTATCTGTTAGCTATGAAACTGCTCTTAAGTGTTGCCTCGTTTCACACTCACTGGCACACAGCGATGGTTGTAATTCTGAAATCTTTGATTATTTTTACATGACAGCTGTAACCAAAAACTCAGATTTATGAAAAAAAGGTGGTGGTGGTGGTGGGGGCACATGCACAGGTAAAAGATGTGCTTGTCATGCGTTGCTTTGTTGCTGCTAATGGACATCCTAGGTAACGGCTGTCTATTTACGACCCTGTCCTATGTCAATCAGCTGTATCATAAAAATAACTAGTTGTGCTTGAGTTGCTCCGTTTGAAGTTCAGAAACTTGAAACGCGTCCTCTTTCCGTCACCCATTGTTGCTTCAAATCATTGAACAGCTTTCTGTGGTCTCTGGTCACCACATATCTGCTAGTTACTTCCTGCGTGGACACCCCTTAAGAGCCTATAATAAATGGCGATGTATTTGATGGTAATACCTAGCCAAAGATGTTCCAGGCTCTGTCCCACGGACTAGCTGCAGGGGTCTGAACCTGATCTGACTGATGAAAATTACAGTATGGTACTCACCCGTGTCCCAGCTTGACACCTGCCCAGTTTGAAATGGCTCAGATTGAGTGGATGGAGTAAACAGACATACAATGATTCCTTTATTTGTTAGTGATTATAATCGGATCACTAGGCAGTTTTGGTGGCGTGGTTGTTAGCACTGTTGCTTCATAACAAGAATGTCCTGGGTTTGAAGGAAGGCTTTCTGTGTGGAGTTTGCATGTTCTCTCTGGGTACTCCAATTTCCTCCCACAGTTCAAAGACATGTAGGGTAGTGGGCTTAGGTGAATTGGTGATTCTAAATTAACTATAGGTTAATAGGTGTGGATGTGAATTCAAATGAATGTCTGACTCTGTTGGCACTGTGACAGGCTCGCGACCTGTCCACAGTGTACCTAGTCTCTTACCCTAGGCAGCAAGGATATGCTCCAGGCCCCTCTGTGACCCTGAATTGGGTAAGCAGTTTCATATGCTGTAAAATACAGTTCCAGTCAGTATAAACAAGTATAATAAACTGTATGGATAACAACTTGCTACATTCATGTATCTCTTGTTTACATAAGAAAGTTTTTGTATATTTTGAGTAAGTTTGAGGGGCTGTGTGTCTATAAGAAAATAAAAAGCAGAGTTTTGTGATGATTAAAGTACTCCTGTCCTGACATTTCAGTCTCAACAAGCAGAGTTTATGTAATCTTAGAGATCACGTATGATTAAAGAATGAGATACTTCTACTGAATCTCCTCGGTGTTCGGTTTAATGTTCCTGCTTGTTTATTTTGGCGCCCACCTGCATTCATGCTTATTAGCCACCGATGCGTTTCATCACACACATTCACTGCGCTGGCTTAGTGGTGTGGTCAGACGACTCCAGTTGGACGCCCTGGAGACGATTACAGGGTCCTTATTGTCTCCACAAAGCACAAGTCCTCCACTCTGCCTGAAAGAGCCCACTTATCAGTGAAGCTGTTTGAGTGGAGCAAATACCTTTGCTCTCCTGAGCAGGTGAGCTACGAAAGTACCCTCTAAATGCCTGCTGTCCTAGTTTTGGATGGAGAGTTCAGGTCAGAATGAGCTCACAAATTGTTTCATGTTTTTATTTTTGGTGGTAGTTTGGCTTTTGCAGACTTTCATCAGAAGAATCAAAGGGTAACAGCCTCTTTGTAGACTCATCCTTTTTATCACAGGGGATGAACTCTACAGAGAATATGAAGATCTATCCAAGTTTGTTTTCTCAGTAGACCAATATAAACAGAGAATATATTGCTTTTCACCGTAGGGGCTCGGTACTTGTCCCTTCTTGTCTACAAACTCATGTGTCTCGTGCTTTACTGTGCTCGTGCGCATTTACAAAAGTGCAGTAAATAAAACAAGACCATGCATGTTTATGCATATTTCAGATCTGTCAGGGGGTATTTGAAGAAATGAAAGAAAAAAAGGAAGCTGTTAAATAAATGTCCAGCATTCCCAAAAAGTAATTTTAATAGCGTGAACTCAGTTTTAGTAATGATTAACACTGGAAGGGTACTCTGCTTGGTTTCTCTTAACACTTTGTGTGTGCAGTTAACCCGGAGGTCGTAACACTATACGTAGCCTCTCTAGAGAGTATCACCGACATCTTCCGTCATCCCCTTGAAGCCTGCAACCAAACTTGCGTTATCATCACGCTGCAAGTTCTCGCTCTCTCTCTGGTGGCTGCAGCCCTGACTGCAGCGCTGGGCTCAGATTTCAAAAAAGCCTGTGGTCTGTTCAAGGCAGAAAGACAGGAGCCATCCCCCATCCTCAGAGAAGACAGTGAGAGCCTCTGTAACACCGCCCTGTAATTACAGGTCATGTTTTTTCCTAATACGCTAAACAGATGTGCTTAGAATGATGCTTAACATTCAGACCCAGAGTTGGACTTAATGACCTGTCATTACTATCAGCTGGTGAAGGCGTATACTGTTTCCATTGCATAAACGATTTTGGAAATTGCTTTTTCACTTTGTCCGTGACAAAATGTTTGTAACTTTAATGGATCTCAGGGTGGAAAAAAATCACAGAACTAAAAAACTCGTCTTCATTTAGACAAAGGTGCAACATGTACCATTAAACCCCTTCAAAAAAACTATTAAAGCCTGAAGGGTATGAAGACTGGCTTGTTTATTTAAGTTTTTGTAATTAGTTTGACATACTTGCTTGCATGTTTTTCCATGTGAGGTTTCAGATTGACCAGATCTGGTGCGTGGCTTTGCCGCATTTCCTTTGATTGCTGATGCCCACTTATGTATTTCATGATTCATTTTGATGTCTCTCAGTGAAATAGCTCTCAGTGTAGGTGTTGAATGGCCTTAAGGCTCCTGTCTTTATCATTACGCAACGCCTCACAAAGGAGTAGTTTGGCTCTAGACTTGATCTAATTGACCATGAAGATGACACATTCATTGGTATGACTTAATATCAAAAACTAAATATTTGTATCCTTTTGTTTGTATGCTCGACTGGATCACAGGTATCCAAAATAGGAAGCACCGTTGATTTGCGATGAGCTTGTGGGCATTTTGGCACCATGCTCTCTGAGCAGCTACAGTCATTATTGCTCATCTCCACTCAGCTGTGAAAGACGAGATGAGTCCTGTTGGCATCTCTTCCTCAGAGTGTGTGTTTATGTTTGCAGACAAGATCCCAGTGCCTGTGACACTGTTATCCATTGTATTTATATATACTGTGCCTATTTAGTACATGTTTTGTGCCTACCATCTGGTTGGCCTTTACAACAGAATCACGTGCTTTACATGGTTCGTCAGGAAACATGCTAGTGTCCCAGCACTGTCTTCCCTGAGGCCAGGGGCAGCTGAATGGGTCTGTTTGGACTTTCTGAGGGGGAAATGGAGTGTGGATAATCTGGGTCAGTGATGCCTCCTAGACCTACACCATCTTGCTGCTCTTCTGCTTCCTTCCTCTATATCCCGTCCTCTGTCTCTGCTGTTTGCCTCCAGCACATTTTGTCCAGTTTATTAGTTATTACTGAACTTTTTAAAGACCAGTAGATATGAGAAGATAACAGATTAGATTTGACTGGTGATTCTATTTAATAGAGATCAACATGTTATATTGTTACACCAAATATCAATATTTTATTAAATAATTAAAAATACTTGGGGATACTAAAAACAAGAGTGCTCATCTCATGCACCTCCTTCCTGAGATAATATCAGCTAAACAAACTTACAATTCAACACCCTAGGT